TGACTGTTTGCTCCAATGTGGTCTTTGTGGAGAATCTGAATCTGGCACCCACCCCCACCCCCACCTCCAAACCTGGGTGCTGCAATGCAAACTCCGTTGAGAACTAAAAGCAGAAGTTGGCCGTGTGCTGAGCAGACATTTCTGCAGTCTTGATAGGAGATGCTATGGTCAGATGCAAAAACTCAAGAGACGAAGTGGGGAGGAACTGTGCTTGGCTTCTTAGCAGGCCTGTTTTGCACACAATAGTCTCCGTTCTTCAGCTGGTCAAGGAAAGCTCTCAGGGACTAAAACCACAATTTTCAAAAGTCGGCCAAAGTTTTAAGATGAATGGCTTCCAACACCCAGAGATCTCCAGTCAGCCACTGAAATCCATTCATCTTGAAGTAGCCTTCCACTGACCTGGAAGATTCAATTAATCGTCCAGGAGAGAAATCTCTTTCTTCTGGTTATCTCTGGTTTATGCCAAAGCAGAAGAAGGTATTTTACAAGACCAATGATCAAACGAAGAATGTCTAGGGGAGTCAAGTTATTCTCCAAAGCACCTGAAGGCAGGGCAAGAAGCAATGGGTGGAAACTAATCAAGGAGAGAAGCAACTTAGAACCAAGGAGAAAATTCCTGAGTTAGAACAATTAATCAGTGGAACAACTTGCCTCCAGAAGTTGCGAATGCTCTAACACTGGACGTTTTTAAGATGTTGGATAGCCATTTGTCTGAAATGGTATAGGGCTTCCTGCTTGAGCAAGGGGTTGGACTAGAAGACCTCCAAGGTCCCTCCCAACTCTATTATTCTATTCTTGTCTGCTCCATCGTGGATGCCTTCCAGATCTCAGCCACCAGAGTTCCTCAAAATTCTGGGAATCATGGCCAGAAAGTGCCCATGTTAGAGGAGGCTACCCTAGAAGGAAGAATTGCTGGGGGTTTTTTATGGCTGATGTACAACATATCCGTATTAAATTGGAATGAGCATTGCTTGGTTTGGAGTTAAGCTAGTGTTTCTCAATGTTGGCAATTTTAAGAAGTGTGGACTTCAACTGCCAAAATCCCCCCAGCCAGCATGCTGTATAATATAGCAAGCTGGGGAATTCTGGGAGTTGAAGTTCAAAGGCCTTAAAGTTGCCAAGGTTGAGAAACATTGGCTCAGACTGTTGCATATGACCATCATTTCTTAGCCTGGCTTATTATGGTGTATGAATTCACTCCATATGTATGAAGCATAGAGGTTCAAAGTCTGGGATGCAATGGTCCAAGCGACCACTAGATGGCAGCAAAGGATTTCCCATTTCTCTTTGCTGCCACCTATGCCTTTTCTGCAGTATTGCAGCCTGGATTTGGTAGTCTTATTCTGGAAAGAAGCAAATGCCATGCAATTCTACTGTAGTACTCCAAAATCCTAGGCTCAAACCTTTTTAAATTCTAAGACTGGGTTTTCATCTTATAGTAAACACACATTTTTAGACTCAGGCGTCCCATTATAGCAAACACCAACATGCTAGCAATGAGCATGATGAGACAATCAACCAAGTAGCAGCCGAACAATGATTCTGTAGAAAACATAGGAAATAATTAGTAACTAGGGGGATATTTTAGAAATCAGGAATGATGGAAACAGCCCCCCACCTGTTCATGCTATCTCCCAAACATTAGATAAATAGAGATTTATTGGCCCCACGGAGATGGCTGGTCATCTCAAAGCAGTAGCTGTAGGTGTCGAGGTACACTGCTCTTGAACATGGAAGTTCCATTGTTCAGCACCCTCTTCTGATGCCTATTGGCTGTGAAAAACCTTCCTTTGCTGATACAAAACCTTTTTTTACACCAGCCTTCCTAATGACCAAACTGCACAATCACGCAAGGATGGGATTGCCTCACTGTTGCGCTGCGTTGCACAAAAGGGTGGGTGTGGCCGAAAGACTGCCAGTAATGCAGAACTGTGGGTAACACCCAACTCCAAAGCAAAACACGGGCACCTCGAAGGCTGAAGGAGGAGATGGGGAGGGAGAGAACAATGGCTTGGATTCCAGCCAAAGGACTATTCTGTCTAAAGCAGCGGGCAGAAGCTTATTCAAGGAAAGCCCAGATAGAAGTCCTCTTAATTTTCCATTTTCAATCATTCTTTCAATGCAACTTGATTTTGGTGGCTGTCTTGGTGTATCTGAGAGGAAGGGGAGAGCAGAGATGCCCTCATCCTTGGTCTTCTGCCCAGTCTTTTTCCAAATTGCAGAAGGGGCCGAATCCTGCAGTGAATGGCAAGAGGAAGGGGGGTGGGTTCAAATCAAGCCTTAAGATGGCTTTGGTTTGCGCTTAAAAGTGTGATTCAATATCTCCCAGAAGAAGGAAGGAAGGGACGTGGTGGCTCAGTGGCTAAAACGCTGAGCTTGCCCATCAGAAATATCAGCAGTTTGGCGGTTCGAATCCCTCGGGGCGCGTAATTGAGTGAGCTCCCGTTACTTGTCCCAGCTTCAGTCAATCTAGCAGTTCGAAAGCATGAAAAAATGCAAGTAGAAAAATAGGAATCACCTTTGGTGGAAAGGGAAGAGTGCTCCATGCGCCTTTGGTGTTGAGTCATGCTGGCCACATGACCACGGAGATATCTTTTGACAGTGCTTTGAAATGGAGATGAGCACTGCCCCCTAGAGTCGGGAATGACTACCACGTATGTGCGAGGGGAACCTTTACCGTTATCTTTTAGAGCAGTGGTTCTCAACCCTCCCAATGCCGCGACCCTTTAATACAGTTCCTCATGTTGTGGTGACCCCCAACCATCAAATTGGTGTCTCGGTTCCTAAGACCATCGAAATACGTGTTTTCCGATGGTTTTAGGTGACCCCTGTGAAAGGGTCGTTTGACCCCCNCCAGACTGTGGGGGCGATATGCTGACTCTGTAAACCGCTTAGAGAGGGCTGAAAGCCCTATGAAGCGGTATATAAGTCTAACTGCTATTGCTAACAAGGTAATTACGGATGCCAATTAGGGCTTTACAAAATAAAGGCAGGATATACTTCTAATGCAATGTTTCCCGACCATAGCAACTTAAAAGCTTTGTGGATTTCAACTCCCAGAATTCCCCAGCTAGCATGGGCATGGCCACAAGGCTGCATGGCTGGCTGGGGAATTCTGGGAGTTGAAACCCAACTCAATTTCTCAACCTTGGCCGCTTGAAGATATGTAGACTTCCAACTCCTGGAATTTCTCAGCCTGCATGTCTGGCTAGGGAATTCCGGGAAGTCCACATATTTTCAAGGTCTAATAATGAAACAAAGAAAGAAATAAGTCCAAAAAAATCTGGATTGCTGCTCTCCAAAGCTTCTAACCTGCTGGAGCAATTGACTTGTTCGTTCTCCTGCTTCACCATATGGCCTCGGCTATTGACCTGGGTTGACCACGTGGGATCTTCCAACCCTGGCTCTTCCTTGCTCCCATAATCGTCCACTGGAGACACCTCGGTCTTCAAGAGGTGTGAGGAGGCAAAGGATGGGTCGAAGATGGACTGGTCCTCACTTACAACCGACAGCGCCTCCTGCAGGAGAAGGTAGCGAAGTAACGGGAAAAGACCAGAGGAATGATTAAGAAAAATCAGAGGAGATCATCGACCCCATTGGACTGAAGAGAGATCAAGTCCAATTTCGGGTTGAAAAGACCCTAAGTATTTTTTTAAAAACTCGTTCTGATGGTCCCATAACATGCCACATCCAAGTTAGCAGTATTGTTGTTTAATGCGACAACATTGCTCATTTATTGCCTTTCCTACAACCTACCAAGCTGCAGGCTTTTGAATGAAGGATCTGAATTCAGGATTTAGTTTTAACTTCCTGGAGGCCTGAATGGAAATCACAATCTTTCCAGGCAGGAAATCCACACCCGGTTATTCATTTCCGGCCCTGTTCACTTAAATGGGAATCTAGAGTCCGTCGCTTGCAAATTACTAAGAAACCTATCGGCGGGTCCAAACTGACCTACAGATTCCTAGACTGGGTGGACCCCTCAAAAAAAACCCTTGATTGATCTCAACAAAGAATGAGGAGCAGACAGCAGAGTTAGGAGTTGCCTGCTGTCAATTTCCACTGGGGGTTTTCTCAACCTTAGCAATTTTAAGGGCTCTCTGGACTTCAACTCCCATTATTCCCCCAGCTAGCATGGTGGGGATGATGAGATCAAAGCTCTGCTTATTTATTTATTTATTTTATGCAATGCACCTAGAAAAACAGTCTGAGCTTCAGTTGTGCCACTGCTGTTATGAGCTTGGCCACCGTCTTTTGTGGTCCCATCCTGGCTGCCATCTTGACTTTTCTGACCACACCTGGCCTCCAAGAATGAAATGGAAGGAGCTTTTTACATTAGAATAACAGAGTTGGAAGGCACCTTGGAGGTCTTCTAGTCCAACCCTTTGCCTAGGCAGGAAATCCTAAAAACCACTTCAGGCAAATGGTTATCCAACATCTTCTTAAAGACTTCCAGTGTTGGAGCATTTACAACTTCTGGAGGCAAGTTGTTCCACTGATTAATTGTTCTAACTCTCAGGGAATTTCTCTTCAGTTCTAGCTTGCTTCTCTCCTTGATGACCTGGGGAATGGGTGACACTGACGAAGGAGAGAGACATTGCACGCAGAAGAGAAAATGAATATAGAATATAGAGTCAAGGGATATAGCTAGTCCTTGACTCGTGACCACAGCTGGGACCTGAATGTTGCGAAGCAAGGTGGTTGTTAAATGAGTTGCACCCCATGTTATGGCTTTTTGCCGCAGTCATGAAGGGAATCACGCAGATGTTAGGCAAATCCTTCCTCCCCCTTTGACTTTGCTTATGGGAACGTCCTCGGAAAGGTAGCAAGAGGAGGTCATGTGACCTTGCAACTCTTGTAAATACCTGCTGGTCATCCAGGTCCCAAAATCTGATCACATGACACTGGGGGAGGTTGCAACAGTTGGAAGGACTAAATGACCTCAGCACCATTGAGGTTTTGACCAGTCATTAAACAAATGGTCATAAGTCAAGGACTGCCCATTGCCTAAAGCTCCCCAGTTTCTTTTATTTTTTTTACACTTTTATCTTTCTTTCTTTCTTAATATCACATAGCTGACGNCTCCTCTCCCTCTTTTGCCTCCTTTTAATCTTATAAACAGCTCTTGTGGTGCAGTGGTGAGAATGCAGCATTGCAGGCTAAACTCTGCCCACGGCCAAGAGTTCGATCCTCGATCCAGATTGTTGGGGGCAATAGGCTGACTCTGTAAACCGGTTAGAGAGGGCTGTGAAACACTGTGAAGCGGCATATAAGTGCTATTGCTATCACGAGATTCTTCAGTGGCAGCGTCTGCAGGAAACCTTAACGATGCCAAAAGGATGTATTCCAGCATCACAAAAGTCTGCCCTCCCCTATTCGTGTCCTAACATCTGGCACAAATCCATTGCTCGCAGCATTTGACGATGTCGTACATTGTGGTCCTTGCACTCTCACAGATGTTCCCCACGTTCCTTCAAGGATATTTTCCCCCACAGTCACCCAAGCCTTCCTGTGACTCGCCCATCAAATCCACACAGCTTCATCAGTTAAATCACAACACAAACTTTTAATACACAGTAAACAAGTACAAAACCATGGAGTTCTAGAACAGAGAAGTGGTGTGTGTGGTTGCATTGGGGAGGGGAAAATATTCACAAAAGTTAAGTGCACTACTGTACATCTCTGTGTTGCAGAAGGCAGTTAAATTGCTACAGACATGATTTTGTGGGCTAAAGGCACTATCCTGAAGTTCTATATTCGGGTGGTCCTTGACATCCGACCATTCGTCTGATTATTACCCAAAGTTACAACAACACATAAAAAACAGCGATGGATTATCTTTCTTTTCCACGCTTTATAGCCACTGCAGCATCCCTCTGTGGTCATGTGATCAAAATTCAGACACTTGGCAACTGGCATGTTTGGGTGACGGTTCCGGTGTCCAGGGGTCATGTGATATCTTTTGGCGACCTCCTGACGAGCAAAAGTCCGTGGGGAAGACAGACTCATTTAATAACCCTGTTTACTGCAATGATTCGCTTAACAACTGTGGCGTAAAAGGGGCAAAACTCACCCAACGATGGTCTTGCTCAGCAGCGGAAATTTTGGGTTGTGCTCGTGAGTTGAGGGTGACCTGTACTTCACATGTTGCAAATATTGTGTCCATTGCCGATACTGAAAACGGATTGACTGTATTGGTGTAAAGCAGGGGTGTCAAACTCAATTTCATGGAGGGCCGCAACAGGGTTGTGTTTGATCTCGAGGGGGCGACAGAGTGGATGTGGCCAGCTCAATGTCACTCGTGTCAGGGTTGCCTGTGGCGGCCCAAGCGCTTTGCCAGTGAAAATGAGCTCCTGAGCTCCGTTTTAGGCTGCGACGGCCTCCTGCAACCCTCTGCCAATGAACACAGCGCTCGGGAGGGCCGTCTGCATTCCTCCCAAGCTCCGTTTTTGCTGGCAGAGGCACCGTGGGCCAGCCCTTCGCTGTTTCCAGGGTGGTTCCCCAGGCCAAATCTAAACACTCCGCAGGCCGGATGTGGCCCCCCCCAGACCTTGAGTTTGACACCCCTGGTGTAAAGGAATATTTGCTGAGTAACACCCACCCCCTAGCTCCTCTCCATTCCCCCCACCTGGCTGGAGGTCACTATATCTTTGGAATGATATAAATACAAAAGTTTGTTTAAATCCTGATTTATGCACAAAGAGAGTGTACATACATCAAGATTGCAAAGTGTAAGCCATTTCTTCCACCGGGCAAAACCGTCTACTTCCCAATGAGTGAATTTTCAGCATTTGAAACTAGAAAAATAGTTCTTTAAACAGTGGGGAGAAAGGGTTTTTTAAGAGAAGCGTCATCATTGATAAGAACTATTTAGTAGTAGAGAGATCAGTCTTGCGCAGTGGTGTGTCCTCATTAGAGGTTCTCAAAGAGGGACAATGTCTGTTCTGAGAGCCACAGGTGCAGGATTTCTACTCTGGATGGAGTTTGTCTAGATGGCTTCTGAGGCTCCTTTCAGATCCACCATTTCATGATTTGTTAGAGAAGCTCTTAAGTAAAATGGGACCTACACCAGGACATGTTGGTATGCGAGAGGTAACCTTCTCCCTTTGCTCTACATCAGTGTTTCTGAACCTCAGCATCTTTTAAGATGATTGGACTTCAACGTGCTGGGAATGGTAAATTCTGGGAGTTGAAGTCCACGCATCTTAAAGTTGCAGGTTGAGAAACCCTATTCCTTTAGTCTCTATACACACAATGGCTTGTTACACCATTGCTACCTGACTATTTGACTTGATACCCATAGGATCATAGAGTACTATGCTACTGCAGCCTAGAGGTGTTGGATTCCAGTGTGTATAATAATAATAATAAGGATGAGGTATTCCTATAAATAGAAAGCTAGTACAGTAACATTACTGTTAGTTTTAAAATTGCAGGTAGCTCTTTCCAGAGAGGAACATCTAAAGCCATGTTTTTGCTGTTCAGTCCACCCTACAGCTTCAGTAGTTTATACGCTTAATGTGCTTCCATTGAGCCATCCATATTACGAGTAAAAAAAGTTCGGAGTCCATTCACCCATCCCAACCCCCTTGTCGTTGTATGAAACTTTCTGAAATTCCAAGGAAAATTACATTTTATAAGAGCAAACAGGACTATAGTTAACTTTTTGCTTCTTTCTTTCCCCAAGAACTTCAATCTTTGCCAGTCTGGGCCAATTGAGATGCATTGGAACAACCATTCCCATAATTCCAAAAGAATACACATTTTTAACTAGCTAGCTGGGAATCATGGGCCTCCTAGTCCACACTTCTGGAATGTCCTAGTTTTGAGAAAGTGAGTCTGTTGAATTTGGTCCTCATCTGAAATTGAATTTGCAAGAGTTGGTCTCCAAACTGAAAATGATTCAGCAGGCCCTCCTGAAAACATTATCACTAGAGGGACTTATAGAGTATAGGTGGTTAAGGGGGAAGATTCAGAAAATCTCCCTAAACTACTTAAGGATATACTGGTTTTAAATTGAGAAAAGTTCCCGGAATTCTTGCTATCCCCCATACGTTTTAATAAATCTGACTAAAGAAAACTCTGAAATATTTTGGGAAGGCAGCTCCCCAAAATCCTTCTAGTACTGCAACTTAAGTATTTTAATGGCTCAGAGCCAGCATCAGAGGGAAAATGTTGGACATGTGGGCTTAGACGGGACTTTGACTTCTGAAAAGATTAAAAATGACTATAATGCAATCGTTAAAGTAATGTTTCTCAACCTTGGCAACTTGAGTAGATGTCAAACTCCCAGAATTCTCCATTCAGGATGCAAGACCAGCATGCTGGAGGGTGAGGGATTCTGGGAGTTGAAGTCCACACAACTTCAAGTTGCCAAGATTGAGGAACACTGGCATAAGGTGATAACCTCATCCTTGCCGCTACTTCATATACGAAGAAACATACCACTACTGCTTCCATAATGTATATGGTGTAATACTAGATGGAGGGTGGTGGGGGTGGGGAATTAAGTAAGCTGAGGCAACTCATCTGTGTCTCCTATAATTCAGAGATCCAGGTTATCTCTGCAAAATTCAGGTGAAGATAGCACAAAATCTGGCTGGTAAAATCTTCCAGCTTAGGTCCAGGAGTGGATTAGATGATCGCACAATTGTTTTGATAGCGCAGCAGAACAGCACCTGCTGGTGGCGGGGAGTGGTACTGCCCCCACCCCCCGCCCTCTTTATTCATGATGACCACAAATACGTTCAAGATGATATTCCCCGTATCCCAGTTTCTGGGTGTGGTGGACGTTTGTGTAATTGAGATCTTCTGGTAGAAGTTCAGGTCGCTCCAAGGACTTTCTGGAGATTAGAAGAAAGAGCCCAGGTGGTTGGTAGCCTGCCTGGACACCGGGGGGTTCGGATAGAGATTGCCCCCTGTGGAATTCCAAAACGGGGCAGGTTGGCCGAAAAAACCTGAGGACGAGGCGGGCATCTGCGTGCTGTGGCCCAGGCCGAAGCCCATCTTCTGCTGGTGGTAGGGGGGCAGGTAAGGCAGTTCCGTGTGGTGGTATTTGTAAAGGGCTGGCTCCCCCGGCTGCCCCTGTTGGGCTTGGTTGATGCCCTGGAAGTCGAACTTGTAAGCGTAGCGTTTGCCATGCACTTTGGTCATGATGTTCTTGTCGTAATAGTAGCGCAGCGCCCGGCTCAACTTGTCGTAGTTCATGTTGGGCTTGCTCTTGCGCTCGCCCCAACGTCGCGCCACCTCATCGGGATCCGTCATCTTGAACTCACCGTTGGTCCCCTCCCAGGTGATGCAGCTGGCATTGTTGCTGTCCGAGAGCAACTCCAGGAGAAATTGCCACAGCTGGATCTGACCGCTACCTGTTGGAGTAAGAGCAACTCTTTGAGCATCAACCTCCGCTTGTTCCCGGGATGACCAAGGCGCTCGCACTCCAACCCACCTTCTGCTGGGCCAAGAGAGATCTTAGGGGGCTAGTTGGCAACCTTCCCAAGTAGACCAGACATGTGAACACAACCGGATGAGCTCATTCTACTTTCGTTCTTAAGTTCTACATTCACAAAGCCTTGCACGTCTGAAAATAGAATTCTCCCATCGTCAATCGGTGGGTGAAGTCTCCCATTTCCATTGGCTGCTTTCCCAGGCTGAGAGAAGGTATTTTTTTTTCTCAGGCCTGACCGCTGGATGCTAAATGCTCCACCCCCCAGGACAAAAGATGGATGGCTCACCTGGATTTGCCAAGCGGCTGCTAGTGGGCCCAAGGACTTGGTATGGATCTACTGGGAAGAAGAAGGAAATAAGAGGAACTCGACTTGGATACAGTTGAGGTGTACTGGGTGCATCGGAGGGGATCCCCTCCCCATCTCTTCCCACGTATTTGGAAGAGCTCACAAATTCTCCTAGCCCTCTCCTAGTTGCTACAATAGCTCTCTGGCTCAGGCTACAATCCAGCAGACTAAGTTGCAACCGACACCACGGAAGTCTTAACGTGGCTCTACCTGCTAGCTTGTCACACTTTCTAGGAACGGCGAGCACTGGTAATTGGCTAACCCTTTCCCCTCTCCGGATGAAATGGTACGGGCCAAGCATATGATTAACTCAGGGATAGTCAACCTTCTTATACCTACCGCCCACTTTTGTATCTCTGTTAGTAGTAAAATTTTGCCCACTGGTTCCACAGTAATGGTGATTTATAAAGTAGCAATAGCAATAGCAATAGCAGTTAGACTTATATACCGCTTCATAGGGCTTTCAGCCCTCTCTAAGCGGTTTACAGAGTCAGCATATNTGTAGGCTTTCTCTGAGTAAACTCAGGGGTTGCCACAAAGAAGAGGGAGTCAACTATTCTCCAAAGCACTCAAGGGCAGGACAAGAAGCAATGGGTGGAAACTAATCAAGGAGAGAAGCAACTTAGAACTAAGGAGAAATTTCCTGACAGTTAGAACAATTAATCAGTGGAATAACCTTCCTCCAGAAGCTGTGAATGCTCCTACCATCTTCAATAGAATAGAATAACAGAGTTGGAAAGTACCTTGGAGGTCTTCTAGTCCAACCCCCTGCTTAGGCATAGTTATCCAACATCTTCTTTAAAAACTTCCAGTGTTGGAGCATTCACAACTTCTGGAGGCATGTTTTTCCACTGATTAATTGTTCTAACTGTCAGAAAATTTCTACATTGTTTAGATAATGGAAAGATCCTATTCTTAGCAAAAAGTATCAATTCTTCCTTATTAGAGGGAAAAATGATCTCAAGGCTTCTTTAAGATCAACTAGGGCCAAAGACAAAATTACTACATCATCAGCAGATATGCCTATGGGCTAGTTTACAAGAATAAAAGCTAGATTACTTAAATGAGGCAGCAAAGAATTCACGTAATAGCTAAATAAAAGCTGAGCCAATAAACATCCTTGTCTAGCTTCTCTCCTTAAAAATACTTCTTTTATAAATATGTCCTTGATTGCTATACCTATCTTCAGTCTCATGAATTTTAAATATCAAAAGTAGCAGATGTTTGTCTATTACAGTGTTTATACCACAATTTAGGTCTTGGATCCTATCCCAAAATGGTTGGAATGCAAATGTGATGCCATCACACAACTTGAGGTTATCCAATTTCCAAGTGACTTATCAAAATCAATTTGATCAATTGATTCAAAGATTCATTTCAGAGATGCCCAACATGATTCAAGCATCAGTTCAAAGTTCTACACGAACATGCCATTTCACTGATGTGTCTTTTCCAAGTTGATTTAGATTTAACCCAAAGTCTTCCTTATAGGGTCTGCCATGAAATATAAATGTAGCATCCTTGACAAATACCAGTAGCCATTCAGCCTCTGCTAATACAGGTATCTCTAGTAATGGGAAAATCCATCTGAAAAATGATGAAAAAGATGTTGAGACATTGGAAAAAGTACAGAGAAGAGCAACAAAGACGATTAGGGAACTGGAGGCTAAAACATATGAAGAACGGTTGCAGTAATTGGGTATGGTTAGTCTAGTGAAAAGGCCTAAGGGTGATATGATAGCAGTGTTGTCACAAAGAAGAGGTGGCCAACCTACTTTCCAAAGCACTCGAAGGCAAGACAAGAAACAACGGATGGAAACTAATCAAAGAGAGCAGTGACCTAGAACTAAGGAGAAATTTCCTAATAGTGAGAACAATTAATCAATGGAATGGTTTGCCTCCAGAGGTTGTGAGTGCTCCATCACTGGAGGTTTTTAAGAAGAGATTCACAGAGAAGAGATTCTTGGATTGGTGTAGGGTTTCTTGCTTGAACAGGGGGTTGGATTGGAAGACCTCCAAAGTCCTTTCCAATTCTGATATTCTGTATTCTAAAATTAATTGTTCTCACTGTTTAACAATGTTTTATTAATGTTTAGCTAAAATATGTCCCCCAATACTTGCCACTCATATCCCACATTTCTTTTAGGAGCAAAAGGCAGCATATATAGTACAGATTGTCTTAGCTTAATTTGGACCTGAATCGTCTCTTCTTGATCTAAAGCCATTTATGCTTTAAACAGCCAGCCCAGCACCTTGGTTCGATCCTATAGGACTCTTTGAGCTTTAGTTACTTATTTATTTAAGTACATTTTAAGCTTGCTTCCCTTCTGATGTGTTTATATGAAACCCTATCTCAGTTTAGATAAAGATGTACATCATCACCAATATCTATCTATCTGTCTGTCTGTCTGTCTGTCTGTCTGCCTGCCTGCCTGCCTGCCTGCCTGCCTGC